AACCTAGTGTGTAGATACTGGAGCCACTGATCATGTCTGCAATTCTTTGCAGGGGTTCTAGGAAACCAAACATCTTAGGGAGGGAGAGATCACCGTGTACATGGGAAGTGCTACGAAAGTGGCAGTTGTTGTAGTGGGAGACATTACTTTGTCGTTTGATAGTAGTAGTTTGGTTTTAGACATTTCCTTTATGTTCCTAGTTTTAAAAAGAATCTTATTTCAGTTTCTAAACTTGTTATGAATGGTTTTAAGTTTTGTTTGATGACATGGTTATTATTTGTTTTGGAAATCGTTTCATATGTTGTGGTTCATTAGTTGGCAATTTATATGTTCTGAAACCAAACTGTCCCACAGTGCAACAAAATGAATTGAATAATGTCATGACAAAGTCTAATAAGAGGAAGAAGTCTTCGCTGATGGATCAAGCATATCTATGGCACCTTATACTTAGGCACATCAACCTTAGATGGATTCAAAAATTAGTGGCCAGTGGACATCTCGGTCCATTGGAAGAGCACTATTCAACTTGTGAATCGTGCTTGGAAGGTAGGATGGCCAAGAGGCCGTTTACGGCAAAGGGGTATAGGAGACAAGAAGTGCTAGGATTGATTCGTTCTGATTTGTGTGGTCCTATGTCGATCCAGGCTAGAGGAGGTTTCGAGTATTATGTTTTGTTTATAGATGATTACTCGAGATTTGGGTATGTTTCCCTGTTTCACCGCAAGTCCGAATGCTTTGAGAAATTCAAGGAGTATCGGGCAGTTTTTGAGAAGCTTCATGGTAAAAGTATCAAGTCACTTCGTTCTGATCGAGGTGGCGAATACCTCTTTGGAGAGTTCAGGACATACGTATCGGAAGCTGGGATTGAATCCCAACTGACTGCACCCGACACGCCTCAGCAGAACGGGGTTGCAGAGCGAAGAAATAGGACTCTTATGGAGATGGTTAGGTCGATGATGAGTTATTCAAGGTTACCAGGTTCGTTTTGGGGAATGGCACTGGAAACAACATCGTACCTTCTGAACTTGGTTCCATCGAAGTCAGTTGAGACTACTCCTTACGAATTGTGGAAAAGGCGCAAGTCTGAGTTTTCACACATTCGAGTGTGGGGTAGTCCTACACAAGTTTTAGTGCAGGAACCTAGCAAATTAGAAGAACGTTCGGAAGCACGAGTTTTCGTAGGCTATCCAGAGGAAACGAAAGGTAGATTATTTTATAGTCCCGGGGATCAGAAGGTTATCGTTTTGACGAATGCTAGATTCTTGGAAACGACTATATTATGAATCATAAGCCCGTGAGTAGACTAGTCTTAGAGGAGTTAAGGAGTGAAATCGATAGTTCCCCACCGTGTGCGCAAGTAGATACATCACATAATATTACAACACGACACACTGAGAATGAACCAGTGCAGACAGAGCCTCGTCGCAGTGGGAGGGTTTCTCATTTACCCGACCGGTGGATAGGTCTTGGAGAGTCATCAGACTCAGTTCCAGGAGACCTAGAATCGAACCCAAGAACTTACGATGAGGCACTCCATGATAAAGATGCAGATTCATGAAATATTGCAATGAAAGCTGAAATGGGGTCAATGGACTCCAATCAGGTCTGAGATCTTGTAGAACCACCCGGTAGGGTACGACCCATTGGATGTAAGTGGATCTGTAAGAGGAAGAGTGGATCGGATGGGAAGGTGCAAACCTTCAAAGCTAGGCTTGTTGTGAAAGGTTATACCCAGATCGAGGATATTTATTATGATGAGACCTTTTCGCCAGTAGCTATGCTTAAGTCCATTCAGATTCTCTTGGCTGTAGCCGCCCATATGGATTATGAGGTCTTGCAGATGGATGACAAGATGGCTTTCCTTAACGGGAACCTTCAGGAAGACATCTATATGCAGCAACCAGAGGGATTCATTGCTGAAGGACATGAGCATCTAGTGTGTAAGCTTAATCGGTCTATTTATGGACCGAAGCAAACTTCGAGATCTTGGAACATCCGTTTTGACGAGGTGATCCAGTCGTACTGGATCACCCAATGTCTGGATGAGCACTGTGTTTACAAGAAAATCAGTGGGAGCATGGTGGTGTTTCTTGTGCTTTACGTAGATGACATACTGTTATTGAAAACAGTAAGAAGGAGTTATTAGACGTAAAGGTGTGGTTGTCTAAACAGTTTGATATGAAGGACTTAGGCGAAGCAGGACACATTCTTGGTTTTAGGGTCATTCGAGACCGTAAGAAGAGAATGTTGTGCTTATTCCAGTCTTCATGCATAGATATTGTCTTGGCCAGATTTAGCATGCTGGATTCCAAGAAAGGTATGTTACCTTTCAGACATGGAATACCTCTGTCTAAGGCAATGTCTTCTAAGACGTCTGAGGAGATAGAGGACTTGAAGAAAGTTCTTTATGCTTCTACAATAGGAAGTCTCATGTATGTGATGCTGCGCACTAGGCCGGATATTAGCTACGTCGTTGGCATGGTAGCTAGATATCAAAGTAATTCGGGACGGAAACATTGGTCTGCGGTGAAGCATATACTCAAGTACCTAAGAAGGACTAAAGAGTACATGTTAGTTTACCGTACAAACAATTTGTCACCTCTGTGTTACACGGATTCCGATTTCCAGTCAGATAGGGATGAAAGTAAGTCAACCTCAGGTTATGTGTTTACCTTGGGAAGTGGAGCCATTTCATGGAGGAGTGCTAAGCAGAAATGCGTGGCAGACTCCACCATGGAAGCCAAGTACATAGCAGCCTCAGAGGCAGCGAAAGAGGCAGTTTAGCTCAGGAACTTCTTAATGGACTTAGAGGTGATTATGAGTTTGTCACGATGTATCACCATGTACTGTGATAATAGTGGAGCAGTAGCGAACTCAAAGGAACCTTGAGCCCACAGAGCAAGCAAACACATAGAGCACAAATACCATATGATTCGGGATATCATTGGTAGAGGAGACATTGATGTTACCAAGATTGCATCAGAGGACAACCTAGTTGATCCTTTTACGAAGAGTTTGTCGGGGAAGGTCTTCGTCAAACACGTGGAAGGAATGGGAGTCAGGTGCATGGAAATAGGATCGACATAGGTCTTTTAGAATAATAGATTGATATGACTATACTGTAAAAGCGAAAACTTTAAGTATAAGTGGGAAATTGTTAGTGTTATATACTGAAAGCTTGGCTTTGCATGTTATTACACATTTGCCCTTTATGAATAAGAATCATGTTAGATTAAACAAGTTCTACGTTCTGTTGTTCTGCACTTCGATAGAGTGGGTCGTCATCGGGTGAACCAGAGATCATTCTATCAGTTACTTGCGAACATGAATAGTCGTTCACAACCTAGATGGACATGAACACCCCATCCGAACGGTTGTAGTGTTAACTGTACAGTTTGTTGGCAACAAGCGAGCTGAAAACAAGTTCTTGTAGTGATGTAGTAAAACCAAATATTTGTTGACAGGATTATTAGCAACAAGCCATATAGCAACAAGAAAATCTGTGGGTAATTTGTTGGCATTCCGTTGGTAAACCAAATATTTCTTGTAGTGATGTAGTAAAAAAAGTTCAATGAGCTGAAAACCCGGGCTTCCCCGTGATATAGTAGATTAGATTAAGTAAGTTCTCACTGCTATAATATTATTTTTTTGTACATCCGCTGAACTGAATGAGCAAAGCAAAAGAAAATGCTGATGGTAATAAACTTACTTCGTCATGTTCGTGCAAAAAAAGTTTTAGTACAAATTTTTCAGTGTGTTTTTACTGGCTTGTAGGGTAATGCCCCATGGGTTTTATTTATTTATTTATTTTTGGGTACAATGAAGGAGGCGAAAGGCCTAAAAGGGGACACTATACGACTACGCTACGCGGATGAGCAACACCTACTAAGTCATGTTCCAACCAAATCTTAACCTCATTTGATGAATTGTAACCTCAGATATCTTAGCGGACCCAACGCCGCTTGTGCAACCCCCATAGGAGTACTACCCCACGGAGTACTACCACACATTTACAGATAGAACCACACTCACACATCCATGTGGTGTGTGTAGAATATGTGGTTAAGAACCCCATGGGATTTATACCCCCACGGAGTAACATAGAATTTTCCTTTTTTTCTGGCAGTATGGGACTAGGATTGTCTCCTTCATTATGGGTCTGGCGAATCAGCCACTAGCATCTTGACACGTCGGCAGGGGCAGATTTATATATTACATGGTGGGGGGGGAGGGCATTGTCCCCCCCAAAGTTTTAATTTTCTTTAATATATATATATATATATATATATATATATAGGGGACGGATCCAATGAGACCACTCCTTAAAATGAGTATGTGAGACTCAATCGTAGCCACTCATTTTGTCTAGATCAAAATCAATTAAAATATACATTAATTAAATAATAAAATAATTATTAGTTGACTCCGGCGTTGACCGTTGACTTCCGACGAAAATCGTTGACTTTCGGTGAAAATCGTTGACTTTCGCGTTGACCGTTGACTCCGACGTTGACCCGTTGACAAATAACCTAGCAGCAAGAAATAAATAACCTAGCAACAAAAGACAACTAACCTAGCAGCAAGAAAGAAATATCCTAGCAATAAAATACAACTAACCTAGCAGCATCAGACAACTAATCTAGCAGCAAGAAAGAAATAACCAAGCAACAAATTACAACTAACCTAGCAGCATCAGACAACTAACCTAGCAACAAAACACAACTAACCTAGCAGTTACAGATAACTAACCTAGCAACAAAAGACAACTAATCTAGCAGCAAGAAAGAAATAACCTAGCAACTTAAGACAACTAACCTAGCAACAAAACTCAACTAACCTACCAGAAAGAAATAAATAACCTAACAATAACAAACAACTAACCTAGCAACAAAACACAATCCATTTTTCCAATTTTTGATTTTTTTCTTCCTTTTTTTTTTAAAAGTATAATTGTTTATTTATGTTATCTCATTTCATGATCAAACTTCCACACGCTATATATGGATCTGAAAGTGGATAAGAAAACTTGCAGCGGCTGCCACACTACCAAAACCCCCCTCTGGAGAGGAGGCCCAGCTGGTCCCAAGTCACTGTGCAATGCCTGTGGGATTAAGTACAACAAAAAGCGGCGGCAGCTACTCGGACTTGACAAAGGAAAGCCACTCAAGAAAAAGAAGAGAAGCAACGTCGCCGGCCAGAGTAGCGGTGCACGAGGTAGCCTGAAAACGCGATTTATGGTGTTCGCCGGCGGCGATTTGTCGATTTTGAAGAGGTCCAGCAAGCTGATGGACGAGCTGAGGGAAGAGGAGCGCGCGGCGGTGGTGCTCATGGCTTTGTCCTGTGGGTCGGTTTATGCTTAGTGAAGTGGTGGTACCTTTAGCTGCTGCTTTTGTACCTTTGCAAATCTCAGAAAAAAAAATGGGGAATTAATCTTACTACTTGTAGCTTTGATGACGGGTTTAATTTAGTGTTTTTTTTCCTAATGCTAATCGATTTGTGGTAGGATGAGGCGAACGATGATGAAATCCCTAACAGTGATTGTTTCTTGACGGTGCTTTCTTTAGTAGGGTTACTAATTAATTATTAGTTAGTATTCCTTGGAATTTAAAAAAAAACCTAGCAACAAAACACAACTAACCTAGCAACAACAGACAACTAACCTAGCAACAAAGACAACTAACCTAGCAGCAAGAAAGAAATATCCTAGCAACAAAATATAACTAACCTAGCAGCTGTTAGAGTAGGGTACCCGGCGTTCCAATCTAATTGGACGTATTCTACTTGTAAATACAGTCTATTGGAATTATATTATGAA